GATGATGGGGTTCGAACCTGTCACCTCTCTTTGCTTTCCTTAGAGACATGAGCCTTTTGGTCCATCACACACTCTTGTCATCGCCATGGCCACCTTCACGTGTGCCCCCAGCCCACACTGGTGTCCTGCCCTAACGGTCCTTAAATGAGTAGATGCTTAGGAGCTGCAATTGTCCTTTAGCTGCTGGAGTTTCTTAGGAACTAGTACACTCTTGTTCTCTGCCTTGCCCATCCTAGGCTATGAATGTGGGCGCACCTCCAGATATGGGATGATTTGCAATGGGAATCAGTGGAATAGAGATGCTGTATGGGATCCTAGAAATGTCCATAAATGAATGGAACCAGTTGAGATTCCAGAGGTGGGGGGGAGAGGAAGGGGGGAGGGAGAAAGAGGGGGAGGGAGGAGAAGGAAAGGGAAAGAGAAATTAAATGCATGGCAAGTGAGGCCAAAGCATTTGCTCAAGTCCTTACAGAATGAGGCAGCATGTTCTCAGACACAGAGAGAAGGGCTGTCAGTTACTTAGACCATTCTATGGTGATCAGCTGTGGCCTCTTCTGTTACTCTGTACTGTGTAAAATGACTCTGTGTGTGTGTGTGTGTCAGTGAGTGTGTGTATATGTGTGTTTCTAAATATATAAATATAACCTGCTTGGTCTGTATAATGATATTTGCATGTATACAGTTTCAGGACTGACAGCTTGGTATTGGATCTTCCACAACAATCCCCGAGTCTTAGGTGTAGGAGTTGTGTTGTAGATGTATTGGTTGGGATCAGACTCCACAACTCCAATTTTGATCAGTTGTGGTTTTCTATAATGGTCTCTACTGGTTGCAAAGAGAAGTTTCCTTGATGAGGGCTGAGAACTATATTTATCTGGGGGCACAAGAACAAATATTTAGAATATAGTTAGGGATTATGCTGATTTAGTAAAGTGGAGGTTTTCTAAGATTCTTAAATTCTAATCCTGGATAAATGCCTAGGTTCCCAGTACCGGATATGAGACCCCTGTTGTCCAGTGGGCCTTAAACAGAATTAGAGGGCTGTTGGTTACTATCAAGGCACTTGTGCCACTATTACATCCCTAAGGATTTTAATGCCATGCTGGCCATTGCTATGGTTCATGGGCATCATGGCTGGGTAAGACTATTCGCTGCTCCCCTCATTTGGAAGTTCACAAGGCACCTTCTGCTATGATGGAAGCTAATCCCCAGAGAGGAGGCTTTCTGCTTAGATGCAGCTTGAGTGACTCCATTTTGAGTGTCCATGATGAGGCAGGGTGACTATCTTGTTTGTGCACGTGAACGACCACATCTGCCCAGCACGAAGCACGAGGCCTAGATTGGTGGACAGCTTATTCCTGAAAGTAAAAGCCGTCACCAGTCTTACCAAAGCAGATCAATAGCACGTGGACACACAGGCAGCTTAAGATACCGGACAGAGCAAGCCCGTGAGCTTACCGAGCACACCAAACACGCTCCTGTCACCCGGGACTGTGAAAGTAGCACCCCAAGACTGAAATGTGTAGACACACCAGCCTATCTCCTCTTGTCCAGGAAAATTACCATAGGAAAGGACTTCTGCCTCTGTCCCCAGGCTTCGGCTGGAGCCATCTCAGCCCCCTGGAAGAGCTTTGCTCTCTCCTGAAGTTGGTTGGTAAAGCTTCTTCTCTGGTCCCCTGCAGAGACTTTCCTTGTCTCTCTTCCTCTTCCAGGTCTCTTCCTCTGCCTCCAGTGCAGCCTCTAACCCTTGCATAGCTGACTGAATCAGCACAGGCCCATCAGATGTACCACTGTGGTGGGGGATGCTGACAGCAGAGGAGGCTGAGCATAAGTGAGGACCACAGGGGCAAGAGGAACCGGGTGGGATTTGGCTCAACTCTGCTGGGGATAGAAGCTGTGTAAAGTGTAACGTGCGGCCTCAGAGTTACTATTAGCAATTAAGATTGGAGTAAAGGAATCTGTGACGTCCGGTGACCATTATTGAGATGAATCAGGATCACTCGGTGAACTACAGGCAAGGAATCCGACATAGCATGTGGATGTGTTGCCTGCTAATAAATTCTGACTTTGTAGAAAGATGCAAATGTGTCTGTCTGTCTTTGTGACTCCTGCAGTCAGAGGGGCAAAGATGGAGCTGGTATGTGACTAAAGGACTTTGGCTCAGGGTGGAGCCCAGGTATTTTGGACAACAATCTAGCTGTCCTTGTTAGTGCCCTGGAATGTTCAAGGTCACGGCTTGGGTTCCAGCCTCTGCAGGGATTGGAGGACCTGCAGCTGGTGAGAGAACAGTCAAACGCTCTGTGATTTTCAGTCACACAGATGCCCCAGGGTTGGGGCAGAGGGAACTGTGTGCCCTACAGCTGGACTTAATGGTTAATACAGTCACCTAGACAGGATCCAGCTCACATAAGAACCAAGCCTCTGGAGAGGTTTGTGAGAGATTTTCTAGACTGGGTTAGTTGAAGGAAGATGGCTCCTGGACTGAACCAAAACAGAACACTTAGCCGGGCGGTGGTGGCACACGCCTTTAATCCCAGCACTCGGGAGGCAGAGGCAGGCGGATCTCTGAGTTCGAGACCAGCCTGGTCTACAGAGCTAGTGCCAGGACAGGCACCAAAGATACAGAGAAACCCTGTCTCGAAAAAAACAAAACAAAACAAAAAACAAAAACAAAAACACCCAAACCACTTGCACTCATCTCTCTCTGTGTCCTGACCGGGTGCATTGGGATCACGTGATCAGTGTCCTGACTGGGTACATGGGGATCACGTGATCAGCTGCTCCTGCAGCTACACTTCTGCACAATGGACTGAACTCGTAAACTGTAAGCAAAACAAACCCCATCTTTAAATTGCTTTTCTCGGGTATTTTCACAGCAAACGAGAAAGGTAACTAGCACATGGGATAGGACGCTAGTGCCGCCAGCACCTTTAAAAAAAAACAACTAAGGTATCTCCTCACCACTTCACTAATAGAAATAAAAAATTAAATGTTGAAGATTCCATTTGAAAATATTTCTATAAAAACGCAGCTGGAAAGATATTCCAGCAAGTGACAATATTAGTTTTCTACAGATGACCACAAATTTGGCTGTTTCAAACAACAGAAACTTGTCACTTTGAGGTTGTAGAGGCCAGAAGTCCCTCCAGGGCGAGTGGAGCTGTGAGCTCCAAAGGCTATGGGGAGAACTGGTCTCTTCCGGTTTGGGGGCCCCTAGCTCTCCGGTGTCAGCATCACTCCCATCCGAGCCCCCATCTTTGCCCAGCCTCTTCCCCAGGTTTCCCTGGCCTATTCCCCCCCCAGCTTTTATCAAACCAGCCCCCTAAGCAGGGTCAAGGCTGGGCATATCTTTTGAGTGAACATTCTTCAACCTACAACTATGATTTCAGGAGTGGGAGAAAGAACTTCCCAGTGTACATCTGGGGGGTAGGGCCACCGGCTGGTGATTACTGGCTGATACTAGGAGATGGATCTGAAAAGGGGGAGGAATTGCTTGGGGGCAAATTATGGGGGGATAATTAATGAGGGATGAGAACCTAGCCAAGTGGCAGGCGCCCAGTTGGGTGTCCTCTCTACCCCATTGGAGGATGCAGTGGAGGGTGTGGGATGAGACATGACTGCTCCTTTGGTTCCATCTGTCACAGAGCCCAGGGTACACACCTTCCCCTTTCCTCATCTACCCCTCCCCGCCTCCTGTGTGTGCACATGTGCACACACACATGCTTGGGTACCACCCACACACTTGAATGCACACACAAACACATAGGATACTGGACCGAGACTGTCATGGGCTGATGTCGAGATGCTCTATCTATAGCTTCATCATCCCCTGGGTGGGCCTGAAGGGTGAGAAGCCTGGCCTCCCAGGCATGAGAAAGAAGCTGGGGGACTAGCTGCAGGTAGGCTTGGTGAGGATGCTGGCCAGGGTCTGGTTCACTGAAGCAAGGCAGAGTCTCTGAGTAAATGTGAATGGGCTCATTTTCCTGCAGTGGTGGGCTGTTTGGTGGGGGATAAAGCAACAGAACAAAGGGATGACACCAGCTGACCTCACAGGCCTCCCTTTAGCCCACTCCGGTGGGTTCTCTGGTGTGAAGGACAGCTGCCTCAGACTCCAGGACCTGGATTCCCGGAGCAGCGGCGGACTGCGATCCCAAAGCCGCTTGGAGTCCTGCTTCCGAGCACAGCCTGGCATTGTGCCCTCCTTCTGTAGCACCTGCTACGATGCCAGAGCGACAGGCTTCGCTCAGCATCTCCTGCCCAGCACGTCGTTGGTGTTCACAGGAAGCTTGCTCCATTGAGTTCTTGGCTACAGTGTGTAAAGGGCAAGACAAAGCAAAATAAAAAACCCCAAAGAAGCAAACATATCGAAACAAAACAAAATCCTCAAACAGACACAGACTGAATCTTTGGATCACCCGACTTGTGCTTACAATGGAGTTTACTGTCTGTGAGGTTTGAAATGTGGAGTCTTTGTAGAAACATCCCTGGAGGTGAGGGCAGCTGGAACCTGAAGAAAGCAGTTTTCTCCAGGTAGGCTATGGGAGCAGAAGGGTGAAGGCCAGGGAGGGGATCCAGGCTGGATGGAGTACAAAGTTTAGACAGGTGGAGAGAAGTTAGTGGGCTGTGAGGAATCTATATCTGACAAGGACTAAGGTCATGGGTCACAGGGAGGAGGAGGGCCCAGGGGAGGCTAGTTAATATTGTTGGAGAGAGAAGTAAGAGGGTGGCTAACAGACCCCCGAAACACTGAAGAGGTGGGCTCAGCATGGCTCTGACTTGGTACCAGCGCTGAAGATGAGAGGCGGGGGGAATGTGGTAGGCCCAACATATAGTCCAATTAGGATTTGGGGTTTCCTCCTCTCTCTGAGCGTCATTTGACGCTGTATGGGGAGGGCGAGGCCGAAACCCGATCCTTTAGTACCCGGGGCCCGTTAATGTTTAATCAGAGAGGATCTTCCGATGGGGTTTGGGGTGGCGTGATCTCCCAGCCCCGAGGCATCCAGCACCCACACCCTGGAAGGCTTTCGCCCCCACGTGGACTCACGGACTGCAGTCTGAGGCTGGAGGGCTGAGCTGGGGCTTGGCGCCTCAGAGACATCACAGCCCGCAGCCCCTGAGCCCGGTGCTCCGAGTCCCGCGCGCGTCCACGTCCTTCCCAGAACCTCTCCTCTCCGCAATGGGCACCGGGTGGCCGCTGTTGCCACTGCTGCTGCTGCTACTGCGCCCTGTGGGCGCCGGTGCCCAGGACGAGGACGCAGACTACGAAGAGCTGATGCTAGCCCTCCCGTCCCAGGAGGATGGCCTGACGGATGAGGTCCCGCATGTGGCCACTGCCACCTTTCGCCGGTGCTCTAAGGTGTGGGCGAGGGTCAGGCAACGGTGTGGCTTTGGGCTTGGGGTGGCGTTCCCCGAGAGTCTTCTCTGCGCATACAGTCTTCTGGTGATCTCTAAGTGCAGCCCCGGGGTACGGGAGACAAGACCCAGCGCGCAGCTGCACCTTGTGACAGTGGTGGGGTGGGACAGGGGAGGCCATGTGCTAAATGCTTAGTTTTTAATGTGTAAGACGGAGAGACCACTGGTGTGGTCGCGCAGAGAGGGGGTCCTTCGAAGTGAGGTGACTGGGGACCGGGGGGTGGGGGGAGAACTCTGGTGCCACATCTTTCTCAACTGAGTGCCAACAGTCATCCTGGGTGTCTGTTGGGGGCTCTGTGGGCCTTGTACTCAGGGAAAGGGTGTCACAGCTGAATGACTTGGGGCACCAGTGAGCGAGTGAATGAGTGGGTGGGGTCAACTTCCTGGGCATATCTGTCCCTGACCCTGGGCCACAGGAAGCTCCTGCCTGATCAGGGTGGAGCCATTTTTTCCAAGTTAATCCTTCCCAGGGTTCCACTCAGGTTCGCTGCCTGGAAATGGACTTGGGCTTGGAGGCTGGAGTCGGCTCACCTGGCTCTGGGTGTCCAGTTACTTTGTCTTGAACTTTCCTGAAAAGGGAAGTGAGGGTCCCTTAGGTGACTACATAGGGGATCTCCGGTGGGATTACAGCCAGCGGCAGTGTGACCACCTGGCCACATCTACTGGGGCAGAAGGCAGAATGGGCTTCCTAGAGCTACCTGACCCCAGCCAGTGTGCTGGTGGGCTGATGTCAGGTTCTTAATTCAAAACACTCCTTACAATGTTCCCTGAACCCTATACCTAGAGGGGCATGGAGTAATAGAGGGCATTTTAGAGCCAGGCTTGCCTATAATCTTGGCTCTCAGGAAGCTGAAACTTGAGCTATATAGCATGACCCTGTCCCCAAAGCAACCATCATTCGAGCTAACTGGATCTACCATTCAGAGAAATCCACTTTTTTGTAACCCCCCTCCCCCACACACGGTGCTTAGCGTCATGTACAATAAGCATATATGGTCACCTCTTTTGCTCTTGGTTTGACCCATGATTACTCTGGTGCCCTGGAGTGGGCTCTTGTGTGCTTGCTAGAACCATATACCTCTCATTAGAGTCCCTGTGGTTTGGGTGCCACATGTTTCAATCTGCCAGTGATTAGCGCCACTCAAGATTCAACAGAAATGGGAGACTCAAGGCTTTCATGGGTGTTCTGCGGAGTGCGTATTTGGATAGTTCAGAGTCCAGAGCAGGGACAGAGAAACCATGGAAAATATATACATTAATTATTACTCTCACCAGACGTGCTCCAGAGACTAAAAGTCTCATGGCCAAATGCATTAAGCTGCATTGCTAAGGCCTTTCCTGAGGCATTACTTGGGCAGGTGGAAACATTGCCGCCAGAGAACTACATGAAGGTCTATAGGAACACACAGATAATGTGGGAAGGTCTGTTCTGTGCATGCTACATCGGGTCACCGTGGGTCCACTGGAACTCTCACGTCCTCTGCTTCTCTTCCTCCCTGGGGACCAGGAGGCCTGGAGGCTGCCAGGCACTTACGTGGTGGTGCTAACAGAGAAGACAGAGCGGCTGCAGATTGAACAAGCCACCCATCGCCTACAGATCCGGGCTGCCCGCCGGGGCTACGTCATCAAGGTTCTCCACATCTTCTATGACCTCTTCCCTGGCTTCCTGGTGAAGATGAGCAGTGACCTGTTGGGCCTGGTGAGCTACCCTATTGGGCATGGGACTTCCCAGGAGGGACGGGCTCCCGTTTCCATGTCCAGACTGACCTTAGTGAGTACCTATGAACTCTTTCTGGGTCCAGGAGGCCTCAGAATTTGCCTGAGAAGTTGAGCCATGGCACCTCAAAAAGTGCCATGGCCAGCTCGGTTTAACTTAGAGCAGAGGTCTCTGTTTCCCAGGACTAACTGTAAGCCAGATGTGGAGATGGTAACCATCATTTAAGGACTAGTGGAAAATGTGGCTTTTTAAAAATACATACACACACACACACACACATACATACATACACACACACAGGGATAGGTTGAGACAGTGTCATGCTGTCTTGAACTTATGGTTTCCCCAGCTCTGCCTCTGGAGTACTTGTATTACCAACAGGCACCGACATCCCCACTGAACGTGGAGTGTTTAAGCAGATGTTAAGTGATGAAACTGGCAGAGGATAGGTTACGGAGCCCTGGGGATACTGAGGCCCTAGAGATGTGGTGGTCTTCCCGGAGGGGGGCATGGAGAGGGGACGCTGAAGCATGGAGAAATGGCACGTTACCCGAGGATGTGGCTGCTGTGAGCCTGGCTACGGAGCAGGATACAGGCCCCCTCACTATCACACTGATGTGGATGCACACTGGCGGCCTCTGCCTGGGAGTCTAGTGCTGTAATCATTTCAGAGGATAGAGCTGGTGGCGGACACATGAGGGTTAGCACTGCCGTCCTGATCAGAGTGTGAGATTTAGGCACTAAGATTCCTGACCGCCTTCTCGACGCTGGGCACAGCCTGACTCCCGGGTGAGATGTGGAGGCCAGAATCCTTCTGACCAATCATATGGGTTCATCCACTCGAATTACAGAGCACTGTGTTCCCTAGCCAGAGAGGAGTGAGAACCCTAGCCTGTGGTCTGTCTGGCTTCTGGGCCCCAGGAGGGAGACTTTGGGAGAATGTGGGTACATGCTGGTTAGAGACATGGACAGCAGTTGCCTCAGGTCGGGGATGATGTGGGCTACAGTTAGCCGGGGAGCTTTTGAAGCTAAGTGATATGGCTCTCTGGCTTCCGTAGGCCTTGCAGCTGCCTCACGTGGAGTACATTGAGGAAGACTCCTATGTCTTTGCCCAGAGCATCCCTTGGAACCTGGAGCGGATTATGCCAGCAGGGCACCAGACAGAGGAATACAGCTCCTCCAGTAAGGTCCCCAGTAAGCCTCCCGCCTCCATTTGCTTTGCTCTGACCCCCTCCCCCGCTTGCTAGGGCTCCAGAGTCTGTACTGACCTCTTCTGTCCTCTCTGCATTGCTCCATGCAGAGTGCTAGGGTCTTCCCTTAAACGACCCTCCCTCCAGCTTCTCGTCCCCGGTGGCTTCATTTCCCCCATCTGCACAGACCCCTCACGCTTCACTTCTCTCAGGGAAGAGGCTAAGCCTGACTGAGCCACTGTCTGTGGGATACCCAGCCCTGTAGCCTGGGACAGACCTCTCAGTAGGACAGACACAGCCCACTGCAGCTGCTCCCTTCTGGATAGCTAATCTCCCAGTTCACCCTGTCCTCTCCCTCCAGTACCATCCGACGGCTGGAGACTCTCTGTCTTGTTTTCAGAGATAGAGGAAGGTGACCCGGGTCTGGTAGGATTGTGAGTGATACAGAGTCAGAAAAGCTGGCGGGTACCTGCTTTGGGAAAGGGTCAGGTTCTGCAGAGTGTGACGTGTCTGTCCCCTGTGGGGTTTCTAGTCTGTAAGGAAGGTTAGTCTATTGCATAAATAGATGGAATATGGATTATGTGAGGTCGATGAAGTTCTGTAGCTAGCTGGGAGTGTTTGAGCTTAGGCTGCATCCAGCCAGCCAGAGTGCCCCCTGGGGTGGCCACACAGAGCTCTCCTGTGAGACACCTTGTCCTGCTCCTTTACCATACCTTCTAGGGACTGAAGTTGGCCTGAGGCCTGCTAGGGAGGTACTCTAGGACTTAATTGTGTCCCCAGCTCCAGGATGAGAATTTTTTTAAAGATACCTTCATCTTTATTTCCGGTGTGTAAGTGTATTTTCTAAACGTATATCTATGCACCATGTGCACACAGTCTCCGCAGAGGCTAGAAGCGGGCATTGGGTCCTCTGGAGCTGGGGTTACAGATGGTCGTTGGCCTCTGTGTGGGTGCTGGGAAGAGAACCCAGTTCCCATCCAGGAGGAACAGGTGCTCTCAGTCATTGAACCATCTCTCTAGTCCCCCAGGATGAGAACTTTTGAGAGTGGCTGTCACCTTGGGCTCCTCCTTTCCTCCCCATCCTCCTAGCTCTCTCTCCTTCCATAGGAAACAGGTATGTGCTATCCTCCACAGCCTCCCCACACCAAGCCTGCACAAGCATCCTCCAGCCCCGTCCCTTGTCTCACGCAGTGCTTACTTCTTGCCTTGTGCCTGCTTCTTGGAGACCCTCACCCTCTCGGGGATGGAAGGTACAGGTGCCAGGTTCACAGTGAGCATCCTGTGCTGAGTTCCTGCCTGACCTCACTGGAGGAAGAAAGAGCCCTGGGCTTACCTGGCCCTGGCTGGTGAATGTGTGGACTCGAGAGCCTCAGTTTCCTGTCTGGGGATGTGCCAACGAGGATGCCAGGCAGCCCTGTTGGTATCTTTTCAGCCCCTGTCTCAGCGAGCTGTAAGAGGCTTATGCTTGGGAGGCTGGTTTATTTTATACTATGATATTATGCTTTGAATGTTCCTATTGTTGTCTCACATGGAACTGGACCGCTTAGCTCACCCCTGGATCTGTCGATTGCCAGCTACAGGCTTTGGGCAGCTCCCTCCCTGTTCTCTCTGTGCCTCACTCCTTGCGGTAAAATAGATTCAGTAGCATGTAGCTTGCAAAGAGCATGGGGGACATTCCGTGAGCTGTCTGATATGTAGGGTGGCAGACAGCTCAGGACATATCAACAACCTTAACCCCACAACTATTCTCTTCCCTTCCCTTCCACGAATGCTGCCATGGGAAGATGGAAGCGGCCAGGTAGAGGTGTATCTCTTAGACACCAGCATCCAGAGTGACCATCGGGAAATTGAGGGCAGGGTCACCATCACTGACTTCAACAGTGTGCCTGAGGAGGATGGGTCACGCTTCCACAGACAGGTGAGTGTCTCAGACTCCCACTTTGTCTCAGAGGTTGGGCAGAGGTGAGCAGAAGTGCCCCCCCCACACCCCGCCCCGAGCATCCTGTCAGATTTGCCTGACTTTCCCTGCCATCTGTGGGGTGGGATGTCAGTCTGTCCAGGCATCTGCTGATATATCATGGGGTGAGGAGAGTCCTTTCACATGACCCCTGTGTCGATTGAGCAGGCCAGCAAGTGTGACAGCCATGGCACCCACCTGGCAGGTGTGGTCAGCGGCCGGGATGCCGGTGTGGCCAAGGGCACCAGCCTGCACAGTCTGCGTGTGCTCAACTGTCAAGGGAAGGGCACGGTCAGCAGCACCCTCATAGGTGAGTGGCTCTCTGGGTTCTGTCATCGGTGAGAAGGTAGCCAAAGCTGAGCAGGAACCAAGGTCTCATAGTCAGGCAGTCTCTGCTACAGTTTAGGGTGATAGAGTTGGTGTGGTCCCAAAGATGAAGAATGCAAGGGGGAAATGGAGGCTTGGGAGGGGACAGGGCTCATTCCAGGTGGGTCTCTGGGTGAGTGCTCTTTCACCATTCTCCACTCTTCCCCACCAGGGCTTTTACAGTGCTGTTTTCTTTCTTTCTTTCTTTCTTTCTTTCTTTCTTTCTTTCTTTCTTTCTTTCTTTCTTTCTTTCTTTCTTTTTTTAAATGATGCAGCATTAGACTTGCAAAGCCCTGGTGGTAGAAGATGGTAGAAGTCTTCTTTCCCCATCCCTTTGCTTGCCACCAAAGCCAGGGCACTTACTCGGCAGGGGAACTGCAGCAGATCTTTCCAGACTTCTGCAGGTCACTCCACTAGTCCATCCCAGCAGGTACCCAGAGGGCTAGCACTTTGGGATGTAGGTAGAGGAAAGGGAGTGAGGGAGCACTTGGCTTATTGCCTCTCACTGTGCTGGGCACGTGAGTACACGGCTTGGCATATAATTCTGAACCTGGCATGAGATGCTTGTTAAATGGCCAGTAATCACAGCCAGGGAGAGTGGTTTGGCCAGGGCCCATAGCTGAAGCCTGCCAGCCTCTGGGGAAGGAGAGGCTAACTAATGGTTTGACTACAACCAACCTAGTCAGATGCTGGTCCTGAGCCAGCCCAGGCAGCTTGGCCTATGAACCCTGCCTGGGCTTTCAGTTGTTTATCTATCTATCTATCTATCTATCTATCTATCTATCTATCAATCTTTCTTTCTTTCTTTCTTTCTTTCTTTCTTTCTTTCTTTCTTTCTTCCTTTCTATCTATCCATCCATTCTTCCATTTATGTATTTATTTATTTATTTATTTATTTATTTATTTATTTATTATGTATACAATGTTCTGCCTGCGTGTGTACCTGCCGGCCAGAAGAGGGCACCAGATCTCATTACAGGTGTTTATAAGCCACCATGTGGTTGCTGGGAATTGAACTCAGGACCTCTGAAAGAACAGTCAGTGCTCTTAACTGCTGAGCCATCTCTCCAGCCCCCATTTATCTATTTTTATGTGCATGAATGTTTTGCCTACATGGGTGTATGTGTACCAGGTACATATCTGGTGCTCACAGAGATCAGAAGAGGGGGTCAAATCTTCTGGAACTGGAACTACAGTTGGTAGTGAGCTACCATGTAGATGGCTGGGAACTAAACCCTGGTCCTCTTTAAGAGCATCAAGTGATCTTTCCCACCCCATGCGTGGGACTTAGCGCACAGTCATTGACACACATTTAAATCAATAGCTTCTGTCCCATCAGTGACCTCTTGGGCCTGTCCCACCCCCTTATTGACTAACCCCAGTCCAGCTTGCCACCCTGGAGGCCACTGTGTAGAACAAGACTGTTCATTCCCCGGAAGTCCTTACTCAGGCCGGGCTAAGCCTCTGGAGGGCTTCTTGTGGGAGAACACTCCCTGCTTCCAGGCCCCACCAGTGTATAGAAAGCTCCTAGTGAATTCATTACAGGGCAGAGTGGGTTTAGCATGAGGGAGTTACTGCATCCTGCATCCACTCTGGCCGCATGATTCTCTGCATGAAGCTGAGGTATGGCCCAAACTAGAGGTGGGTTTTCCCAGCTCAGAAGGTCTGGATTAAAGGTGTGTCTTCCCACCTCAAAGATCTGGATTCAAAGTGGATTTTCCCACTTCAAATTAAGCAAAACTCCCTTACAGCTGTGCCCTCCATTTTTGGGCTTTAGTTAATACCAGATGTAGTCAAGTTGACAACCGAGAATAACCATCACTTCCTGCAACCAAAGTGTGTGGTGTTTCCAGCAATAATGTCCCACTATCTCGTTCTGGGGAACACTTGGCTCCTTTAGTTTTGAGTCTAAGCTCAAGTCTAGAGGGCAGAATTCTTCCTTCAGGGAACCAGTCTTTCTCTCTTCCGGCATTTAATAGATTGGGTGAGGCCCACCAACATTTTGGAAGTCATCCACTTTACTCAAAGAAAGTGAATAAATGATTTCAATGTCAGTCCTATGTAAAACTACTTTCGAGGCAGCAATCAGGGTTGGTTAAGCATCAGGGCACCGAACTGTCACAAAGTGATCCATCGCCCCATGCCTCTGAGAGAAGGAACGGGAAGAGGAAAGCACACCTTTCTAGAAGGAGACCTGAGCTTTCTTTTTTTTGCAGGTCTGGAATTTATTTGGAAAAGCCAGCTAACCCAGCCTTCGGGGCCATTGGTGGTGCTGCTGCCCCTGGCGGGTGGGTATAGCCGGATCCTCAACACCGCTTGCCAGCACCTGGCAAGGACTGGGGCCGTGCTGGTTGCTGCAGCTGGCAACTTCCGGGATGATGCCTGCCTCTACTCCCCAGCTTCCACCCCAGAGGTGAGTGCAATGCTGTCCCCCCAGAACCAAGGGAAGGTGGCAGATGCCCCCCGCTCTGCTGGCTGAGCTCCCAGGGCTGAAAGTGGTCAGAGCTCTCAAGTGGGACCTTCGTGGGACTCGTGCCTTCTCCATCCCAACCAACTGTCCTGTCCCGTGCCTTAACCTCCCTCCTCATGTCCAGCTCTCCACCCATAACTGACCCTAGTGAGACTGGAGGCCGCAGCCAGCCCCAAAGCCCTCATATGACCATCAGCATATCCAGCATGTCTGGGACTGTGGCAGGTGCATCCTGGGAGGGGCCTCCCTGGAGGACCTGACAGTCCAGTGGGTCCATCTTCATCTGGGGGACACCTGCAGGGCAGTGGACTGTTAATGATGGAAGTGTAGGAGTGGGAGGTACCTGTCCCAGTTCAAGCCTTGCTATAACCCAGCCTGCCCTCCCTGACCACCAGGGATTACCAGACTGATGGATTTAACATTGCCAAGGCCCAGCATGTCTCTTCCTCCTGGCCTGTCTTAGGCTTCTACACAGTACCATGCCTGCCTGACCGAAGAACCGTTCCTCCTCAGTCTCTTCATTACAACATGGGCTCCACAGGGAATCAGGAATGGGGTCTGGCACATGGTGGGGATCTCTGGCCAAGGCGAAATGCCAACGTTCCCCTCCAGGAGCTGCCTTTCTCATGGTGGACAACATTTCATCGGCACACAAGGGGGCATTTGAGTTGGCTAGTCCAGAGGCAAGATCTTCCTATCCCCAATGTGGCCCTCATCTTTCTCTGCCACCCACCTCCTCACCTTGCCAGGTCATCACAGTTGGGGCCACCAATGTCCAGGACCAGCCAGTCACCCTGGGGACCTTGGGGACCAACTTTGGACGCTGCGTTGACCTCTTTGCTCCCGGGAAGGACATCGTTGGTGCTTCCAGTGACTGCAGCACATGCTTCACGTCACAGAGCGGGACATCACAGGCTGCTGCTCATGTGGCTGGTGAGTCGCCATCCTGCCATCCTGCCGCCATGGACCTTTGGCGGGCAGCAAGATCCGTACCCTGACCCTCTGGGACAGGTTCTGAGCCCAAGGGTGCCTGTGGTGAACAGCTCTCTGTCAGTGTGTCTGAGGAAGAGGTTTTTATTTTGGATTGCGACTTCAGAAGGTTCACCCCATGGTCGCTTGGCACTTTTATTTTAGGGCATACCCTGGTGGGGAGTGTGCGGCAGAGCAAGACTGCTCTCCTCATGTGGTTGGAAAGCAGAGAGGGCTTTTGACTATGACACACCCCAGTGACCTATTTCTATTAGGATACATCTTCTCCTCCAATGACCAAGCCTTCAACATTTACGTTTTTCGGGGTTTTTTTTTTTGGGGGGGAGGGATATTTAAGAATCAAATTATCACAATGTCCTGAAGAACACTGGGTATACCAGGTTGCACAAACCAATGGAAGAGAAAGCAGTCAGGGCTGTCGGAGCCCCACGGAGGTACCTGCACAGCCTGGAGGTCAAGGAGGCCTCCCTGGAGGAGGGAAGTTTGATGTAGGGTTTGATGGACGGCTTCCCCTAGCAACCGCCTGCAGTTGCCAAGGCCCATAGGCAGGAGAGGATGTCTTCTCATCTGACTTTTCACCGAGTAAGGGATTGTAGGCGTTTACATTCCCAGAGGAGTAGGGTTTTTTTTTTTTAATTTTTTAAATTTATTTATTATGTATACAACATTCCTTCCTTGTATGCTTGCATGCCAGAAGAGGGCACCAGATCTCATTACAGATGGCCATGAGCCACCATGTGGTTGCTGGGAATTGAACTCAGGACCTCTGGAAGAGCAATCAGTGCTCTTAACCTCTGAGCCATCTCTCCAGCCCCAGGAGTAGGTTTTATATGTGTGTGCATGTGTACATGAAGTGTGTGTGTGTGTGTGTGTGTGTGCATGCAAGTGTTTGTTCCTTTGTGTACACCTGGGCAGGAGTCCTATGGCTGGGAACGAGGGTCAGGCCACCTTCTCTCATTCTGCACCCCCAGGCATCGTAGCCAGGATGCTGACCCTGGAGCCGGAGCTCACCTTGGCTGAGCTGCGGCAGAGGTTGATCCACTTCTCCACCAAAGATGTCATCAACATGGCCTGGTTCCCTGAGGACCAGCGGGTGCTGACCCCCAACCTGGTGGCCACACTGCCCCCCAGCACTCATGAGACAGGTGAGCAGGATGGCAGGGAGGGCACACTGTCCTCTTCCTGGTCCTCACAAGAGGGTTTTCTTTCCTTAGCGAGAGTTTAACAGCAGAAGCTTTGGAAGGGCTTGATGACATTTTCACGATGGTATTCCCATGGGAAAACAGTGAGCTTGAAGGCCCTTCTTTTCTGCCGTCAGCATCCCAAGACCTTGCTCATCTAGGACTTGTTGCAGGCGGGCAGCTGCTCTGCCGGACGGTGTGGTCGGCACACTCGGGGCCCACACGGACGGCAACTGCTGCAGCCCACTGTGCCCCAGAAGAGGAGCTGCTGAGCTGTTCGAGCTTCTCCAGGAGCGGGAGGCGACGGGGCGATCGGATAGAGGTACCTTGGCCCTGTGCATGTGTCTGTCTATCCCCCACCAGTCCCAGCCCTCAGCAGCTGCAGCTGGTTGGTCCCATCTTCAGGCTTAAAGGCGTGGTCAGAGATCCACATCCAGGGTGAGCAGTGCTTCTCTGCTGGTCTGTGGAGCTGGGGTAAGGGGTATGCAGATGCCGGGTCCTAGGGACAGCTCCTGTGACAACTTCCTAGCTGGGGCTGGAGCTGCTATGTCAGCTGCCTGTTGTCTCCACTTGGAAGCAGAGTCTCAGTGTCTGGAAATTTTATGATGGAGCTATCTGGAGATGGAACAGTCTGGGGCCTGGAAAGCTCCTTGTCTCTATAGCTGTGGGGATAAGGATAATGCTGAGGGTTCCCAGGGTCTCAGCTAGGTGTCCCTGTACCTTTGTCCCAGCCCTGTATTCTTTCTTACTGGTTCTTGTTTTTCTGTGGCCCTCAGACCACAGGGGGCCAGCAGGTCTGCAAGGCCCTCAATGCATTTGGGGGTGAGGGTATCTACGCTGTTGCTAGGTGCTGCCTGCTTCCCCGTGCCAACTGTAGCATCTACACTACCCCTGCTGCCAGAGCTAGCCTGGAGACCCATGTCCACTGCCACCGGAAGGACCATGTACTCACAGGTAGGAATCCAGTGCAAGCTGGGAGAAAGGCTGTGTTTTTGAGTGCTTGACTCCAGAGCCTGGTCCTCTAGAGCCCGAGACCCAGGGCCCTTCTTAAGCTTTGCTTCCATGTAGTGCAATCCTCTTCCTCCTCGGTTTCCTTCTACAAGAGAGGGGTGAAGGCAGTGCCTCCTTGGGGGTGATTATGGCTGGGTAAGATGGCGCATAGGCTGAGGGGGCCTAGTGTCACCCAAGGGAAGGCTCTAAGGCCTGTCTCCAAGGGGGCGACTTCACTTGGAATTCTGGCACTCGGCAGTGGGATCAAGCCCTTTATCAGCCCCGTGCTCGGTTTCTTCACCACGAAGTGCAAGGATGCATGCCAAGCACGTTAGCCTGGTGCTGGGACAAGGTACATTAGCTGTCCTGGTCATCTCACTGCCCCGCCTCTGGGCGAGGGAGCCAGAAACATCCCCAGGCAGTAGTAGAAATCACAGGTGACGACGTTGAGTGCCATTAGGGGTTGGTGGCTCTCAGGTCAGGAGGCTGAGCAATCCCGTGTGGATAGAGAATGTGGAGCACATGTGTGGACCACATGTGTGGAGCACGTGAAGGGGTCCCTGGGAATTGCTTGCTCAGGGACAGATTCCAGTGGACTACAGGCTGGGGAAGCCACTGAAGGTCCCAGAGTGAAGGGTGGGGCCGAGCTTTGGCACAGAATGAATGTGCAGGGGGCAGATGAGGCCAGTGGGTGACTGCAGACTGGACTAGGCAAGGCTCCCTAACCATGTTGGTTGCACTTCTGTACTGGGCTCTCTTGGCTTTGGGAGTGTCAACAGCTAAACCCCAGGGCAGGTCTGGAGCAGTGAAAGCCTTTGACCTTCTCTATCTGTAGCCTAGCAGAACTGCACTCCCCAGTGAAGGAAGCTGCCCCTCCAGGTGGAGCGGCTCTACTGAGGTCCTGTAGCCAGGATACAGGGCCCTCCAGTCCCGGACTCTGTAATATACAGTCTTTGCTGTACATCGTTCTATGCGGGGACTTCACACATACTGCCTAGATTCTTCTGCTTGCAATGTTACAAAAGGGAAACTGAGGCTTGGTATAGCTGAGTGTGACCTCTATCTATGATTTTGTAGCTGGTGGTGTCCCTTACTTCCAAGACCAGAGGGGGTCTGTAGGTGTCCCAGGCAGATCTGGGTTCATGCCTTAGATTTTGGTGGTAGGCTGGGGAAGGAACTCAGAGGCTCTGAGCACCTCAGGCTGAGGAGCCCTGTCCCGTCCCTCAGCCCCCTTCTCTGGGTGAGAAGACCATGCTTTTTTCTTAAGAAAGCAAGGCTCCAAGACGTTGAATGGCTCTGCCAAGGCCACCCAGATGGTCAGTGGCAGAAGTGACAATCCAGGAATCCTGTCGCTCAAGGCAGTAACATCTCTTCTACTCTGCGCTGAAGTAGCGTTTGGTTGGGGGCAGAAAGACGGGAGGTTCACAAAACCCCAGTGTCTGAGCTGGATGCCCTCTGTTCTAGGCTGCAGCTTCCACTGGGAGGTGGAAGACACCGGTGTCCTGCGGCAGGCTGTGCTGAGGTCCAGACATCGGCCTGGCCAGTGTGTTGGCCACCAGGAGGCCAGCGTCCATGCTTCCTGTTGCCATGCCCCAGGCCTGGAGTGCAAAATCAAGGAGCATGGGATCTCAGGTCCTGCAGAGCAGGTGAAGGGGTTGGCGGTGACTGGGTACCTGGGTCTCGTGGGGTGGCGGGTGAGCCAGGCAGTTTTTACTGTGGTATGGATAGTACGTGTGTGTTTGCGCATGGCAGGCAGGGCTGGTTCTGCTCTTGTCCAGATAAGCAAGGCTCGTTACTCACCCTGCTCCTCTTTGAAAGCATGCATGACCACGGGAAGTGGGAAAGAAACACAGTGCCTGAGCGTTTTCTGACCTGGCCATTATTAAGGCTGCTGGGAGGCAGCTGGGGCAGGGACTCTGCAGAGTCTGGACACAGAGCCATGCAGGTGTGACTCAGGGACAGCTAAGTGAAGGTTGAGGGAGGGAAGAGCCCTGGGAAGAGGCCCTGAGGCCTGACAGCTGGCCTTTTGGAGCCTGAGATAGGAGGCTCTGTGGAGCGGGGCGGAGTGGGGCCGGAAGATGCGCTGAGGGAATCTCAGTTCTCACTTTATCTACAGTGAGCACAGGTACCCTGTGGCTGCCTCCCTACTGGTCCTAGACGAGGTAGAGGTTCCAGCTAAGCCCACCAGGAGTGTCCATTCTGGTGGGAGAGGACAGTAAACAAAGTTGCAGAGTACCAGGAGGGTAAGATGGAGCAGGATGGAGCAGGACGAGTGGGGGGGTTGAGGCACCCATGGGATGGGATGGAGCCTTCATCAGGAACAATATTTCTGGCAGAGGAAACAGCCAAGGCCAAGAAGGGTGGCAGCAATGTCTTGAGTGACAGGGTCGTCCAGGCCAGTAGGGCAGGGTGGGACTCAGAGGTGTGGAGGAAGGATGGGGTGGGGGCTAAAGCACCAGTCAGATCTTAGGGATTGCTGCGTGATGCAGCCATGTAAAGGCTGAGTGTGCTCTGACCTGGGGGCTGACCAGGCACAGTCACTGCACTGGGAAGAGGTGGCAGGAAACCTGCAGTGGCCCAGCCTAGGAGGTGAGAGCCTAGGCTGGGGTGGGAGATGCAGGGAGACTGCAGGTCTGGAGATGGGTGTGGGTGAGGAGGAAGAATGGGTTTGGTGTTTCCGTTGAGCCTCTCAACAGTTGGGGTTAGCGTTAAATGGGATGGAAGCCTGCAGAGGTGCTGACTTTGAGGACGTGAAGGAGGCCGAGTTAGCTATCTGTCCTGGAAGGAGTGTGTGTTGGTTTCTGTTGGGTGTTGCCCTATCTGGGTCTGAGAGGCTGTGGAGTTTTGACAGCCCCCAAGTCCCAGACACAAGCTTTCTTCCTCTGGACTCTGGCAGGTCACTGTGGCCTGTGAGGCAGGCTGGACCCTGACTGGATGCAATGTTCTCCCTGGGAAATCCATCACTCTGGGGGCCTATGCCGTGGACAACACATGTGTGGCAAAGATTCGTGACACTGATCCAGCAGGCAGGACCAGCAAGGAAGCCACAGTAGCCGCTGCCATCTGCTGCCGTAGTCGGCCTTCAGCCAAGGCTTCGTAGGCTCACCAGTGACAGTCTCAGGCAGGGAGGGTGCCTGCCGCTGGGTGCAGATACACCTGCCTGGCTCTCCTGTGGCTGGCCACGGGTGGAGAGAATCTGTCTGGGAGAACTTGGTGTCTCACCCTGGATACCCCTTCCTGGTGTACCTGTAGGGAAGCCCCTCCCTCAATGTGGGGCCTGTGCTTGGCACTCTGCCATCAGAGGTTGTGGTTGGCTCTGGCCAGCTGCTTTAGTTACCAGAGCCAGTAGGCACTTGCTGCAAGGGTTGAATTCAGTCCTCAGGCCTCCAGGGTATATTTATCCTGTGGGAAGGTAATGAGGGAGACCCTTGGAGGTTCAGGGACCAAGTGCCAGACTGGGGAATTGAGTGTGAGTTGCTGAGACCCCTTACAGCCTGCTCACATTGGAGATACTATTTTGGGATCCCTGATTAAATTCGGATCAGTTCTGCACATATCTAGGGGCGATGAAGAAATCTAGCCAGTCGTGGATCCAACTGTGAGGCCATGGACATCTTCCAGATGTCATCATCTGTTGTACCCCAGGCTTTGGCCCTGCTCAGGCTAACTGGCTGTAAGCTCCCAGCTGACTTTGCACTTGAGAGCCATAGGGTGCTTACCCCACCTCACCCCATCCCCACTACTACCCCGCACAGGAAAGACCGGCAGTCTTGCTTTGTGGAGGAAGAAGACAGGACCAGGGAGGGGAGTGCCTGGTGATGTCACACAGCCAGTGGTGTCAGGACATAAATCCAGAGTGGCTGGCCCTGAAGCTATGCCTCTTGGGAGTACCAGGCTGGGCACCCTATTTCTGAAACAAATGAGACAACAGGACAGTCTGTGCTTCAGCAGTTTGTCCTTAGACTGCTCCGTAGGACACAGGCCCTTCCCATGGCTACCACAGCCCCTACTCACATGGACTGTGAGGAGAATGACTATGCCAAGGCCACACAAGATGACAAGACCACCTCCATCCTCTCAGCTTCTTCTGCCTTTTTATAGTAAGCTTTCCCTACTCATGTTGCTTTTGTAACTTGATATTTATTCCGGGTTTTGTAGAGTTTTTATTACGTGGTGAGTTTTCAGAATAAAAGCAGTTGATGTGACTACCTGCACCCGACTGTCTAAGGGACTGCCTGCTTACCAAGTGCAACCATCTGCTGGGTGCTGGTGTGCACAGGCCTGTAATGGGAACGCTCTCCTTGTGACCATTCTAGGAACGCAGTAACTGTCTTCCCGTAGCCTCCTGACTCCTCAGAGTTCTGGTACTTTGTCTTGGAGAACCTGGTTCCCTTGGGCATTCTAGATTCTTGTGGCTCCTGCCCACCAGCATGCCCAGTTCCCAACACCTCATCCATCTCTACCCAGTGAAGGTACAGGGGGCAGCAGAGTATATGGACTCATTCGCTCCCAAGTCTGTGGGTGTTTCTCAGGCAGACCATGGCTGCTCCTGATCTGAAGTGAAGCATGCTCTCAGATCTCTTCCCAGTGTGCAATGTGCAAACATCGCCCTCATCCAGTGATATCTCTTGATATCACGGTCTTAAGCAAAGTCTACGTCTATATAGCAAACGGATCTGCCAAAAATCTCCCAATTGTTTTCTGAACTTTAGTGTCATGTGTGGAAAGCACTCTAGTTGACGGATGCTAATGGCTCAAATGTCAGAATGGTGTTTTGGCACCAGAGCCACTGGTACTTGTGCTTTCAGCCCAGCTGAGATCTCTGCTGTCCCCTACATGGCAAAGGACCATATGCTGGTTGGTCAGAGAGCCACACGTGGACAGATGGTTGGCAGGTATTCACCAAGGATTGGGAGGAAGGGCTTGGCCTGCAGGGAGTGGAAGATGTAGCACTAAGGGGATGGGACCCATGTGAACAATGTAGGCCACCAGGAATGACTGACCAGAGCAGGAAACTTAGCTTGAGACTCCTGAAAGCTGAGGCTACAGGTCCTGAGCCCATGATTGCTTTCCCTGTCCAAGTGGTGCACAGAGATCTTGGAAAGAAAGATCAGCGAAGGCCGGGAGGACACAGCCCCTTGCAGCGTGGCCCTCACTCTCTGCCACCTACACTGCTCCCCAGTGTCCCTCCCACAGCCCGTGTGACATTCAGAGAAAAATGTCTGTGAGACCCCAACTCTACATTTTTGAAAAATTTATTTCCTACTCTTAGAAGCTAAGAACTCCACCACACATGAACCAAATTTTGAATCCAGAGTCTTCCCTAGTTTATCTACTTCCTTTTGAAATTTTATAAACAAGATTTTGTACACAAGAGGTAGCAGAGGAAAATTCCAGTCTGCTTGTTCCAAGCTCAAAAGATGCTGCACACGCCTGGGTGTTAGCAGGGAGGGTGGGGCAAGCCAGGTGAGTCTTGTGGCTCGAGCTCTGGGTTTTGCGGCTACTAGCTGCTGGCAACCATGAGCGTCCACCTGGGGAGCTACAGGCAAGCTTCCTGTGGGAGGCTCATCTGTCTGTCCCAGGATGCCTTAGGAGCAGGAGAGCAGTCCTGAGGTCAGCCTGGACTGCAAGAGCTTCTTGAGAACACACAGCGTTGAGTCAATTGTGCAATTCCTGCTTGATTGCGGACCACTGTAAAAGATTATAAAAACATCTTCATCCAAAAATTGGCAGTAAAAAGGACAACTCTTCCAAGGCAAGCTTGCCATAATTGTCACTTTGTGTACTACATTTTAAAAAGTCCTCATACGTTAGTGGACTGCAGCTGTTGGAAATCAAGTGGTTACTGGTAACGTGGAAAAGATGCTCAATGCAGCAACACGGGAAGAAGATGGACCAAAGTGTACAGTGCCGGTGATCCTGACGCAGCTTTATGTGAGAACAGCAGGTGCAGGGGCAGAAGGCGTCGTTTCCATAGGAAATAAGGGGACTGACTAGAAGTGGCAATTTCACTCCTGAATTCGGGCTCCTGAGTGCAGTTGCCGGCAGCGATATCCCATTGGTACCATCGCCAGCATTTCAATACATGTCCACACAATCTTTCTGCAAGCACGGGTGTGAAGAGATGGTGAGTCGGAAGGGAACAGTGGGACATGGATGTTCAGGTATTCAAATCAATTTTAGACCCTCACATTCAAAAACTGTAAGAACACCAGAACCTGACCAAATCTGCCACTTGCCTCTGTTTCCTTGAGGACACAGCTCTGCTCTTAACCCTTCCTTCTTTGTGAGTGACCAAAGCTGGCACTGGCCTGTGAACAGCAAATGAAGGGTCCCTGAAGCACACAGCAGGGAATGCCACCTGCCTGCCATGTGTCCCCACAATGCAAAAGCAACCAAAAAGGCACTTAGGGGTTGGCTGTGCCTCTCTGACTTGGCAAATCTAGCTGACAGTGGCAGGCTGGCACCTCCAGAGGCTCCTTTAGTTCTGTGCATGGCAAGTGGAAAATAAGGCAGAACATGTAACTAAAGGTGACACAAGGAAGACACTGAGCAATTCAAAATACAAAATGGAAAGAGCACAGCAAACGGCTGTGTAACCCCAGCCTGAATGAGTGACTGATACCATGTTGGCAAACACAACGAAATGGATGGTATCTAATTATTTTTTTTAGTTATTTCAGAGAAAGTAAGTTTTAAATCTTGCCTTTTCAGTATCAGTCATGTCAAGGAGAAACAAAGTCTTGGATTCTTTCTCTGTAGTAAAATTATGATCAATTTCACAAAGCAGCAGCTCCCAGCTTAGGTATTTAACTCAATATACAATCGATACAAGGGTCACAGGAATCATGTTTAAGTAAAAACAAATGATTGCAGATCACATGACTTAAGACTAGTTTATTCAATATGTCTCCGAGCATTAAAAAGGTAATTTTATGAAGTCAAACTCAATAAAATTATAAAGTGCTTTTAATTTTGTTGTTTTAAAATTTTATTTTGGGAACAACCCATCACTTTTCAGTGACTGATGTCAAAGAATGCACCCTATACTTCTAGAGAACATAGCTTTTTGTTTTGTTTTAAATTTATTATTGCTCTTTTCAATCTTGAATCAGAAAATACCTTAAAGAGCTTAATAATGCCACAATTTCTGATACTAGTAACATGTCATCAAGATCTAAGATTATGCTGAGGGCTCTTAACTAGACAAAACCAGAGATTCTGTACAAAGAGGGAGACATATTAAATACAAAGGTCTGTGTAAACCAGATCCAATTACTATTTTACAATGAAAGGACTTTTACCACATATCTTTACATCATTCTAAATTGGATATTCCTATTCAATGTTACTGCAGATTAAAAATTTCCCTCACATACCTAAAAATATAAAAACCAAAGGATCCTCCTCTAACAGCCCCCCAACAAAGAGAAAACTGTAGCTTTATCTCTCCATCCTCACTCTCTATGTTCATGTATCAGAAGTTTGCCACCTGCTTTATTTCCTGAAGTGTCAGTGCACATATAATCCGGGGACAGCTGGTCCACATGCCAGGATTCTCCCACTGCCAAGCAGCTCTCAACCTTCTAGTGGCTAGAGAAGGCTTCCCTTCAGAACACATGGTCCTCCATCACACTCCTGGTTCAAACTCCAGGCTCTTGTAAGGGCTTCAAGGATGAGATTCTGGTTTCTAAAAGGTGCTGAGCTTCCCATCTGGGCACACTGCTCTAAGGGTCAACATCATCAAGGTCACTTCTTAATTCACCAATCATCATGGGAGACTCTGAACCCTAAGGCAAAGAAAGGAAGTTAAGGTTCCTACAATTAAAGTTAGGAAGAGTTTCCCACACTGACTTCCTTACTTGTGGTCTGTAATTTAAGTATATCCTCATTGAGCAACTTAGTTCTGCTTATTAGAAGGTAATAAAACACAATGTTATTACTCTTCTGGCAATTTCTGATTATGCAAAACGTGTGCATTTGTATGGTCTCACTCAGACACTAAAAGAACCCCTGGACTGGCCTCAGGCTACACTTTCTTCTCTACACCCACACAGGCAGACTTATATTTGGACTGACTGAGCAATGGGAAAAGTGGGGGGGGGCGGGAACTGGACACCAGTGACACTTTACTTCATGCCAGGCACTACCCCTGCTGGGTCGTTCCTGAGTCTACAATTAGGTTCTGTAATCTCATGCCTGGGGACTGACCTAGTTGAACTAGGGCTGAGCTGGTCTATCTTTATCCCCACTCTCTGGAGCAGGGTCTCTTCTTTCTTGATCTTTGGGATGCTTAGGAGCAAATGTCCCTTCAGCCAAAGACAGGCTCCTGTTGTACCTGTTGTAAGTGTCTCTCTCCATTCTCGTTGGCAGGGCTGCTCTCTGAGCCATTGCTGCTTCCTGATTGCTCTTTTTCATTCAACAAAGCTGTGGCGTATGCTAATGTGTCCTGTAGAGATTCAAACACCAGAAGATAAAGTAGCAACCAGTGACAGCACTTTCCCCACATTGCCAAAGCATCCCACAACCCGTTGTCCTGGGAGACCTGCCCAATAACCTGCAGCAGCGCTTTTCTCAGACAAGTAATCTATTCCCATAGGGTTTGAGAACACCAGCTCATGTTCATACAAAAACCCAAAGGCTGCTTCTGTATCTCTTTCCTGAGCTGTGGTTTTTAAGAACCCGGCATAAGGGTTTCAAAGCACGCCAGAGCAGACACCCCTCACCTGAGCTGAGATGGTTCGCTGAAAGGTTTTTCCAGTTGAGGTTTCGTTAGAGACATTGCTCTGTGGAGTCCAATAATGCTCTGACATCTGGGATAAAAGGCCAAGCAGAGGTGACAAGTAAGCCCCCATGAGTACACAGTCCTACCTTACACACTGGAGTCTAGCAGCCAAAGGTACAAGTCTACTTAGACTTCTACCACCTCAATTATCATGGGGGATTATCCCCCAGTTTCCAACAGGAAGATAATGCTTCTTAATCGGAGCACCAGCCTCCAACTTTTCATCTCTGGAGTTAAGACAGATGTTAAGCAGTACCCCCCTTATGCATGGATGTGTTTCCCATACTTTGTTATTTGTGAACAACCACGGTCCAAACATATTAAAAGGAGAGTTCTAAAAATAAGTCAAACTGTGTGCTGGCGTGAGTACTGTGATGAAAGCCTTCACTGCCTCACTGTCACTCCAGACGTAGCCACTTGTCCAGCCAGGTTTCTACCCTTTATGTGCTAATGGCCCAAACATCTCTCCACTGGTAACATATGAGAATTACAACAGTCACGTTTGTTATACCACCCATCTCTTCATACATACGTCACATCATTTCCCACCCCCACGAGATGCATTAGTACAGTATAGATCCTTTGATTACAGTACACTGTTATCATTTTTCTAAGATATTCTGTCCCCATTTTATCATTATTATCATTAATCTCTTACTATGCCTAATATCCAACTAAATTTTATCCTAGTTGTATGTATCTAAAAGAAAAAAATAGCATATATAGGCTCGGTACTGTCATCCACTTGGAGGCATGTCTTAGATCATAAACCTTTGGGGCTGGAGAGATGGCTCAGTAGTGAAGAGCACCTGCTGCTCTTGAGTTTGGATCCTAGCATCGCCAAAGTTTGGATGTGACACCCTCTTTTGGTCTCCATGGGCACTTACAAGCATGTACATATACTCACACACATATACATAAATAAAAGTAAAATCTTGACAACAACAACAACAAACCCAAAGTCCTGTGAGATGTGGGGGAGAGGGTGTAACCATATTAAGACATAACTTTAATACATGCACATATGTACTGACTAAAGAAATGTTTGAACGGGTAGAGATGACTCTGTGATTAAGAGCATGTATTCCACTCATGGAGGACCCAAGTTAGATTTCTAGCAAACATGTCTGGCAGCTTACAAATGACTACAACTCCAGCTCCAGGGGATCTGATATATCTGACCTCCATAGGCACTAGCGTGCATGTGTGTGTGTGTATGTGTGTGTGCGTGCACCCATACACACAATAAAAATAATAACAATAACAACAACAATAATAAAATTGGTCTAAAAATATTTGACATCTCAAAGTATCTTGAGATCATTCTATGAGTCAGTTTAAGGAA